ACGTGTACAAAGAGGTATGGGTGAGGAGATTTTAGTATCTGTTATAAGATTAGAAACAACTAAATATCTACTGTTAAGGTTGGGCCAAGTGCAGTGGCTCACGCCTGTAATCCCAGCACTTTGGGAGGCCGTGGTGGGTGGATCATGATGTCAGGAGCCTGGCCAACATGGTGAAACCCCATCTCTACTAAAAATACAAAACATTAGCCAGGCATAGTGGCATGAGCCTGTAATCCTAGCTATTTGGGAGGCTGAGGCAGGAGAATTGCTTGAACCTGGGAGGCAGAGGTTGCAGTGAGCTGAGATTGTGCCACTGTACTCTAGCCTGGGTGACAGAGCTAGACTCCATCTTAAAAAAAAAAAAAAAAAAAAGGAAAAACAGAGGCCAGGTAGTCTGGGTGCCACCGCACCAGGTAATTCATTACAGGCGATTCAATTACAGGTGATTCATGCCTGTAATCCGAGCACTTGGGAGGCTGGTGGGTGGATCACCTGAAGTCAGTTCGAGACAGGCTTGGTCAACATGGAGAAACATCATCTAAAATTACAAAATATAACATACAAAAATACTAAAAATACAAAAACTATCTGGGCATGGTGGCAGACACCTGTAATCCCAGCTACTTGGGAGGCTGAGGCAGGAGAATCACTGGAACCCAGCAGGTGGAGGTTGCAGTGAACCAAGATTGCGTTATTGCACTCCAGCCGGGGTGACAAGAGCAAAACTCCATCTCTAAAGAAAAAAAAGCCAGTTAAATAAACTATGGTAAGAGGAAAATGAGTACTGTTTGGATATTATCTATGCCTTGAATTCCTTTGTCTCCTTTTTTCACATACCTAGCTCTCTTTCACTTACCGTAACTTGGAGTTTTTCATTAGTTCACTCGTATTTTTGGTTCCCTCTCTCTTTAGAATGTGAAATCTGGCCAGGAGTGATGGCCTACACCTATAATCCCAGTGCTTTGGGAGGCCAAGGTGGAAAGAATTGTTTGAGGCCAGGAGTTTAAGACTAGCCTGGGCAACATAGCAAGACCCCGTCTCTACACAAAAATAAAAATAGAATGTAAGACGTGAAGGGGGCAGGGTCTGATTGTATTTTTCACTATCATATTCCCAGCACTAATGTTGTATTTGATACTCAATTTAAAATGACTGTGACTGTATCTTAAATACAAGTCATCCTTATTGGTGAAGCATTCTCATTAAATTCATCAGCAAGAATATCAGGTATCACCATTATTTAGCATCAGTTGGGAAGCATAGCCAAAGCAATTAGACAAGAAAATGAAATAAGAAATGTAAATATTAGAAGAGTTGTCAGGGCCGGGTGCGGTGGCTCAAGCCTGTAATCCCAGCACTTTGGGAGGCCGAGGCGGGTGGATCACGAGGTCAAGAGATCGAGACCATCCTGGTCAACACGGTGAAACCCTGTCTCTACTAAAAATACAAAAAATTAGCTGGGCATGGTGGTGCGTGCCTGTAATCCCAGCTACTCAGGAGGCTGAGGCAGGAGAATTGCCTGAACCCAGGAGGTGGAGGTTGCAGTGAGCCGAGATTGCACCATTGCACTCCAGCCTGGGTAACATGAGTGAAACTCCGTCTCAAAGAAAAAAAAAAAAAAAGAGTTGTCAGGCTCAGTGGCACGTGCTTGTAGTCCCAGCTACTCAGGAGGCTGAGGGAGGAGGATCGCTTGAGCCCAGGAGTTCTGTAATGTGGAAACGGTCCTCACTCTTGGTGTTTCTTTACCTTTAGATTGTTGAAGGGCATCAATCAGTTAGTTTGCAAAAATGACTCTCAATTTTGATTTATCTGATGTTTCCTCAATGATTAGATTGAGGTTGTGAATTTTTGGTGAGAAAACCACAGAAATGGTATTGTCCTCCATATCAGGAGACCACAATGTTGGTTTAACTCCATATTTTGATGATACAGTTGACCATTTGGTTAAGATGGTGTCTGCCAGATTTCTCCTGTAATTACTTTTCTCTTTGTAATTAACAGGTAATCTGCAGATACTTTGAGATTACTTTATTGGATTTCTCATGAAATTTTCACTCCATAAATTAAGCTTCCATTGATGGTTTTCTAATTCGTCATTCTCCTTTTATGTTTATTGTTTGTATTCTATGAGAAAGAGATTTCCAGCCAGGCACGGTGGCTCATGCCTGTAATCCCAGCACTTTGAGAGGCCGAGGCAGGCAGATCATGAGATCAGGATATGGAGACCATCCTGGCCATGGTGAAACCCCTTCTCTACTAAAATACAAAAAAAATTAGCTCAGTGTGGTGGCAAGTGCCTGTAGTCCCAGCTACTCAGGAGACTGAGGCAGGGGAATCACTTGAATCTGGGAGACAGAGGTTGCAGTGAGCCAAAATCGTGCCACTGCACTCCAGCCTGGCGAAAGAGCAAGACTCCATCTCAAAAAAAAAAGAAAAAAATTCCTTTTTCCTTCATTTATTTGGTTGTTTATATTTGAGTGTACTCTTTGATTCTTTTATTCAACTCATTTTATTCAATGAGTTATGATCCATTATTATATAATAGGATTTTTGACCTAATTTCAGCTTCTTGTAGTGTGAATTTTGGTCACATAGAATTTCTCTGCCTTTAATCCTTATCTTCCCGAGTTTTCAGGCAAGTCATCTTCTATACCTTTGTTACCAATTCATTACACTCTAAAAGTTTTCCCCACAAAAAAAGCTTTCCCAGACAAAAGTCTGCTTGATCGATTACTTTATTGGCTTGATATATATGAACCACTTGTTTCCCTGTTATTGTTTATGTAATATTATAGGTAACATTCTTGTGTTTGCATGTTTGTCCATGTGAGTTGTATTAATGCACATATTACAGATTAAGGAGACTTTGTTTCATGGTTCTAAAATAGATCATTTGATTTAGAGATTAGAAGTTTCTCTGTCTACCAACAGCAAATTTTTAAACAAAGTTAGGTGCCTCAGGTATCCAAAATTTTGAATTTGATAATCTTCAGGTTTAACAACAACAAAAAACCTTACCTTAGCAAAAGATGAGAGGTAAAAAGTGATCAGTTACCTTTTCTTCCTTCCCCAGATTTAGATAGTATTGTAGTTGCAGGAAAGAACAACGCATCAGAAGTAAGATCTCTATCAAAGTCTGAGAATATTGTGTCTAAGAGTTCAGCTATTCAACAAATATGTAGTAAGGGTCTGTTATGTGCCGGGATCTGGGTTAGGAAGTGGCCATATAGCAGGAACCAAACAGTCCTTGCCTTCAAAAAACTAGCATTCTAGTAGGACAACAGCAAACAAACATGATATTATATCAGCTGGTGCTAAATGCTATGGAGAAAAAAATAAAGCAAGATAAGGGAAATATGTCAACTGATCACAGGGAATAAAAGAAAAAAATAGATAAGGGAAATAGTTATTGATGTACTTTCTGATATAGAGTGATTAAGAAAGGAAAGTGAGATGGTAAATATTTGAAGAGATCTGGGGGCAGGAGGATAAGAGGGTTGAGAGAGTATACAGGCAGAAAGGGCCGCAAATACAAGAGCTGTGAAGTGGTAGAGCACTTAGCGGACCTGAGGACTGAGGCTTGGGACATATTGCTGTGTTTAGGTATCAAAGGGATGAAGAATCAGCAAAGCAGAAGTTCTTGGAGAGGTAGGAGAGAGAGGTACTTGTTTGCCAGGTGAAGAAGCTGTTTTCAGGAGGAGGTGGTAACTAAGTCAAATTTTGCTGATGGGTAAAGAGAAAACACTGAGTGCAGATAACTCTTTGGATGTTTTTGCATTAAAGGGGAGCAGAAAAATGGGATGGGATCTGAAGACTAGTGTGGGACCAAGGGAGGTGTTTTTGAAGGTGCGGGGTATTCGTGTATGGTAGTAGTAGGCTGATGGGAATTTTCAAGTAGATGAGAAACAATTGTTGATGCAGAAGACAGGGGACAGTAGCAGGAGCAGTATCTTAAACATACGAACAGGGTTATAACAGAATGTACAAAGGGAGAGACTGATTGAGCTCTAAGACCAAACATCATCTACACGTCTAGAGGAAAGGCACAGTGTCAAAGGTAGGCACACACAGAAGCCAGTAATGCAAGAGGACCAGCAGAACATCAGCCTCCTTTTTTCCTTATCTTGCCTTGATTTTTCTCCTTTCTTCTCACATCTGTAAATTTTCGTATCTTTGACTTTCACTTAAAAAAATATTATTTTTTTCTGTGGTTTGGTGGGAAGGGGGTGTGCCAGTGTGTCTTGTTCCTGGAAGAAACAAATTGTGAAAAAGTTTGAGAAGCTTTGATGTTAGAGGGAAAAACATATCCAGAGAGATTTTAATATCATAGTTGAAAATATCTGAATATGTAGTACATACTAAATGGTAACCATATTTGAATGTTTAAAAGAATTCTCTAGTCTTTTAATTATTTAGGTCTCATTATAATGTAAATTAAAAGGTAGAAGGATTTATCTGGGTAAATAAGTATAGATTTGTAGAGATGTTTTATATTTATCATTTTCCTGATTATAAAAGGAATGTTTGTTGTAAAATATTCAAACAGATATGTATAAAGTGAAGTAATAAACTCTTTCCCACTCTGTTCCCAACCTTCCAGAGAGAACCACAATAGTTTGTAATAATACTTTCCACTATTTATCAGTGTTTGCTTCCAACTTAGCTGTTTGATTTTCAACAGAAAACTAAGTAAAAACTGCCCACTGGCAACATTAATTTCCAAATCTAACTCATGAGTATTTTAAATTCAGGGGCCTTATAAGTGCATGTTTATTAAACTGCACAGATTAGAACAGCCTGTCTCAGGACAGGACATAAAACTGACCTTTGTTTCTGAATTAAATGTTTCTTTGATACTGAAATAATGAAATGCCAGTCTTAGCTTTTGACTTGTGGGTTTTCATGGTCACTGAACAATAAGCACAATGCAGTTTTAAAGACGTTTGCTCATTTGATGAAATATAGATTTCTACTAAGCACATTATCTGGTACTTTCCTAGAAGAACGAGGTACTAAGAGAAAAGCATGAAGGTGTGGATCATAGTTCCCAGCATGAGGAAAATGAAGAAAGGGCGTCAGCCCAGAAAGAGAACTCATTTCAGCAGAATAATGAAGATGAAAACAAAATAGCCGAGAAACCTGATTGGGAGGCAGAAAAGAGCACTGAATCTAGAAATGAGGTAACCTGTCAGAATATTCCAGCCTTGCCATTTTGGTTTTAATGTAGATTTTGTGGCATTGACATTGTGTGTCAAGAATGAACATGTAAGTATGCTGTACTATTATCAAATCTATGAAAATACCTATATCTTTAAGTTATGGAAGTAATAATTTGATTTATAAACAAATTAGCCCATACAATTGTTTTCTGTGGTTAAACTCAAGATTTTGTGTGCATGGCCGGGCCCAGTGGCTCCGGCCTGTAATGCCAGCACTTTGGGAGGCTGAGGTGGGCAGATCACCTGAGGGCAGGACTTCAAGACCAGCCTGGCCAACATGGAGAAACCCTGTCTAAACTAAAAATACACAAAATTAGCCGGGTGTGATGCCGCATGCCTATAATCCCAGCTACTTGGGAGGATGAGGCAGGTGAATCATTTGAACCCAGGAGGCAGAGGTTGTGGTGAGCCGATATCATGCCATTGCACACTAGCCTGAGCAAAAGCAAAACTCAATTTAAAAAGATTTTGTGTGCGTATGTACACACCCCCCTCCAGGACCTTGCTAGCAGGTTTTCCTAATTATGTTTGCCAAGGCAAGAGATGAAGAAATGGTGAACCTAGGAGTCCTCAACCAGCCACATGAACAGGCAGCCAGGCTGGCCTAGTCCAGGAGAGAAAGCCGAGGGCCAACCTACAGCCAGTCATCCATGATATCAGCTAAGGCTTGTGCTGAAATCTTTGTTCAGTCTCCTGGCAGCCTGGCTGAACCGTTGGGATCCATGGTCCAGTGGGACTACCTCATTGGCTCCTCATTGTCTAACTTTTTTGCGATAGAGTTTTGCTCTCTTTGCCCAGACTGGAGTGCAATGGTACGATCTTGGCTCACCACAACCTCCGCCTCCCGAGTTAGCTGAGATTACAGGCCTGTGCCACCACGCCCGGGTAATTTTATATTTTTGGTAGAGATGGGGTTTCTCCATGTTGGTCATACTGGTCTTGAACTCCCGACCTCAGGTGTTCCACCCACTTTGGCCTCCCAAAGTGCTGGGATTACAGGCATGAGCCACCATGCCCGGCTCACCTTACTCTTCAGCTGTGAGAAGAGGTGTAGAAAGATGAACTCCAGGAGCCAGGCTGAAGGGATTGATTCTTCCTGCAATCTATGCTTCCCCCTCCTTTCATTTAGGCTGTATCTGGTTTCTTTTAAGCCCTGCTGAGGTCCTGCCCACAAGCATGGCAAACAGATGCTCCAGAAATATTCAATAACCACATGACATTTCTACCTGGAAGGCACACCCTTGCAGGTCATGCCCTGATGGTTCTCAGCCATCACCTGCTTTAGTGTGTCCCCTTCCCAGAAGGTGGAGTTTAGGGCTGTGTTTTGAATACCTTGGAGGATGGAGAGTAGCATGCCCTGACCCTTTTCAGACAGCTGTCACCATAGTATTCCCAATCATTTGGCATGAAATCAGAAAACAGATTTGTTCTCTTTGCCTATCTACCACTCCCTTGCCCCTCCAGTTTCCACCTAGAACCCCTTGGTGAAATCTAGGGCAGGTCCCATAAATTCTAGATACTCATAAAAATCCCTCTGGCTATCCCGGTGCAGCAATTGGTAAGAATAACCCAATGTGGCTGTGTGCAGCTACTCATGCCTGTAATCACAGCACTTTGGTAGGGCAAAGCAGGCAGATCACTTGAGCTGGGGAGTTGGAGACAAGCCTGGGCAACATGGTAAAAACCAGCTCCACAAAAATTACAAAAATTAGCTGGGTGTGGTGATTTGTTCTTATAGTCCTAGCTACCTGGGAGGCTGAGATGGGAGGATCACCTAAGCCTGGGAGGTCAAGGCTGCAGTGAGCTGTGATCACACCAGTGCACTCCAACCTTGGCAACAGAAAAAAAAAAAAAAAATGTATGACCCAGTGTGGTTCTCAAGAACACTGAACCAAAAATTAGCTAGGCATAGTGGTGTGTGCCTGTGGTCCCAGCTACTTGCAGGCTGAGGTGGGATCACTTGAGCCAGGAAGTTGAGGCTGCAGTAAGCTGTCATCATGCACTGCACTTCAGACTGGATGAGAGCAAGACCCTGTCTAAAAAAAAAAAAAAAAAAAAAAAATCCAAAACAAAAGGCACTGAGCTAAAATTCTTCCTTCAGTTTTATGTGGCCTCCTGCCCTGATTTCTTTGGGGTTGACAGTATGTAGGAAATTGTTTCTCTTGACCATGTGATACATTTAAATATTATACAACTCTTTGTCACATGGGCACTTTCTCATTGTATAGGTTCTTTGGAGACTCCTGGCCCCACAGCTGGGAGTCTTTCCCTTGACAGGGGCAAATGTATCTCCACTGCAGCTGGTCCTTTAGGACTCTACCTGAATGTTCAGTGGTATACTTACATCACACCTCTCCAGGTGGCTCTCTGAACCACTTGCTGGCCATCTCACACCTGAAAACATGCCCTTAGAATCTTTTTCAGTTCCCTAACTGCAGCTCTTGAATGGTCTCACCTTTTTAAAATGACATCGTCATGAGTCAGCATATGCAAAAGTCAGGATTCCTAGTCCTCTGAAAAAGATTCTAAAATCAGTGTTTAAATTGTTCATGAAGGAAGTCTATAAAGCAAGAACAGACTATCATGAAAAAAGGAAAAGCAGATCTAGAAAAGAACACAAATGAAATTCTAGATATAAAAAAAGTAGTCATTTTCATTGAAAATTCTGTGAAAGTGGTATGAACAGCTAAAAAAAAAGGCAAGTTAGAAGGACCTAAAATTATCTAGAATGTACCACAGAGAAGATGCACAGTATGAAAGCAAAACTGAGACAGTGATAGAGAAGAATCTAAGTTACTTCTAATAGGAGTCTCAGAAGAAGCAACTACAAAATATGAAAGAGAAGCAAGTTCATGGCAAAATATTTCCAGAAAAGTCCTCAAAGGACTACACAGAGCTCCTAACAAAGTAAATGAAAACAAATTAAGTCCCAGACATATCACATTGAAACAGAACATGAAGAACTAAGGAAAAACAAATCTTTTAAATTACCTGAGATAGAAAAGGTTCATTATAAATAGCACCGAACAAACTTACCAGTAGTAATAAATGCCTTACAGAGTACTGACAGAAAACATTAAACCTGATACTTTTACCATCATTTTAGCGTGAAGGCAAAATAACTCCACACAGGCCAGGCACGGTGGCTCACGCGTGTAATCTCAACACTTTGAGGCCAAGGCAAGTGGATACCTGTGGTCAGTTCTGAGACAAGCCTGGCCAACATGGCAAAACCCCATCTCTATTAAAAGTATAAAAATTAGCTGGGCATAGTGGCACATGCCTATAGTCCCAGCTATTCAGGAGGCTAAGACACAAAAATCACTTGAACCCGGGAGGCAGAGACTGCAGTGAGCCAAGATCCCACCACTGCACTCCAGCCCGGGAAATGGTGAGACTGTCTCAAAAGTCTCTAAGAACTTTGAAGAGTTATTTCAACTACAAAGAAGCTACACCATGAAGGCCAGGAGTGAGAGATGAAACATCGATGGGTAATGGTTAAAGAAGAGTAAATTTAAGTAGAGACTATAAAAATTACTTTGAGACAAAACCTCATTCTGTTAGGCTGGAGCTGTCACTACTCACTGTACCCTCAACCTCCTGAACCCTGGCAATCCTCCTGCCTCACTCAGCTTCCCAGAGTAGCTTGGTCCACAGGTACACTGCCACACCCAGCTAATTTTTATTTGTAGAGACTGTCTAGTTGCCCAGGCCGGTCTCCAACTCCTGGGTTCCTGCTTTGGCCTTCCAAAGTGCTGAGATTACAAGTGTGAGCCACCGACCTGGCAAAATTATGTAATTGTGTAACCAACTGGGAAGGTTGGCTATGGAGGGGCAAAATAAATTGAAACTAAAAATACTAGCCAAAAATTATATGGAAGATGTTTAGGGTAGGAATAGAGATACTGATGAGCTTTGGAGTTTAAATATGCATGTTGAAATACTGAGTACTGTAAGAGAAATAGGCTGGCTACAGTGGCTCACGTCCGTAATCCAGCACTTTGAGAGGCCGAAGTGGGTGGATCACGCATGGTACATGCCTGCAATCCCTGCTACTCAGGAGGCTAAAGCAGGAGACTCCTTTGAACCTGGGAGGTAGAGGTTATAGTGAGCAGATTGTGCCACGGCACTCCATTCTGGGCAAGAGACCTCATCTCAAAAAATAAAATGTAAAACTTCCAAGGAATAGGGATAAAAACCCAGTGTGGAGATAAGACCTGGTAATCCTTTAAAGATAAAGCCTAAAGCCCCAATCAGTTCAGTTTTTTATACATCTTTGTTTCTCTACAGGGACATCTGAATGGGACAGATATTTCTCTCTCTCTGGAAGACTTACTCCAGTTGCTTTCATCACAGCCTGAAAATTCACTGGAGGTAATTGGAACCTTGGCTTTTATCCTCATAGGAACTTAACTGCACTGACCTTTTAGTGAATATAGCTCCTTTACCTGAATGACAAAGGAATGCTCATTTTTACAGAAGCACTTCAACTTAAAATTAACCAAATAACCAAACACGTATAGCATTCCTCTTCCTGAATAATCCCAAAGGTATAATCAAATATGGACCAGTCATGGAACAGCATGTAGGTTTCTCAAAAAACAAAGTCAAACTATCATGTAATCCGTCAGGCATTTATCTAAAGGAAAGGAAATCTGTGTAAAGGGACACCTGCACCCCCATGTTTATTGCAGCAATATTGACAATAGCCTTACAGTCTTTTAAACCTCTGCCTTTCACAGACTACTTCACTGTAGCTTATTATCCCTGACCCTCCACTATGTGATTGCCAACGGCTAGGATTCAAGTTGCATCTTACTATATAAAGTAGTAAATTACAAGACTGTAATATTAGATTTCTTTAATAACAAAATCCAGTCAGCTTTTATACTAATCAATCTTAATTTCTACATTATGCAGAATTATTTACTTCAAGTCTAAGTATTCTGATTAGGACTCACATAATTGTATTGCCTGTATTTTAACTAGGGAGTTACTGTCAACAGTATACCCCTATTAAACACAGAGGAACTGACAAAAGTGAGGAAGGTTGTGTTAGGTTATAGGACTGCTTCAGAAGTAGAGCTATATGTTTAAAGTGTTTCTCCTTTGTTTTTCAGGGCATCTCACTGGGAGATATTCCTCTTCCAGGCAGTATCAGTGATGGCATGAATTCTTCAGCACATCATCATGTAACCTTCAGCCAAGCTATAAGCCAGGATGTGAATCTTCATGACGCCATCTTGCTTTCTCCCAACAATACATTTATAAGAGAGCCAGTAGCAAAGACTTCACAGCCCCAAGAACCATTTCTGCAGTTTCATTCTCATACCACTAATCCTGGGCAGACTCCTGGAACTAATTTGACAGGATATCTCCCACCTGTTGACAATCATATGCGGAATCTAACAAGCCAAGACCTTGACTTAAATATATTTGATGAGATAGATCTAATGTCATTACTCGCCACAGAAAACGACCTGGATCAAATCGATATTTCTCAGCTTTTTGATGAACTGGATTCTGAATCTGGCTTTTCTTTGGATTCAAGTCACAACAGTACCTCTGTCACCAAATATAATTCCTCTCCCTCTGTGTGTGATGAAGGTGCTACAGGTTATAGTAGTAACTATGACTTAGGTGCTGTAGGAGGCTACTACCAAGAACCCAGTAAACTTTGTCACGTGGATCATGATTCTGGTTTCCATGGGGATCTTACATTTCAACACATATTTCATAACCACACTTACCACTTAAAGCCAAGTGCACCAGAGTCTACTTCTGAACCTTTTTCATGGCCTGGGAAGTCACAGAAAATAAGGAGTAGGTACCTTGAAGACGCAGATAGAAACTTGAGCCGTGACGAACGGCATGCTAAAGCTTTGCATGTCCCTTTTTCTGTAGATGAAATTGTCCACATGCCTGTTGATTCTTTCAATAGCATGTTAAGTAGGTACTATTTGACAGACCTACAAGTCTCACTACTCCGCGACATCAGACGAAGAGGGAAAAATAAAGTTGCTGCTCAGAACTGTCGTAAACGCAAATTAGACATAATTTTGAATCTAGAATATGACGTATGTAACTTGCAAGCAAAGAAGGAAACGCTAAAGAGGGAGCGAGCACAATGTAACAAAGCTATTAACATAATGAAACAGAAACTGCATGACCTTTATCGTGATGTTTTTAGTAGATTAAGAGATGACCAAGGTAGGCCAGTTAATCCAAACCTCTATGCTCTTCAGTGTAGCCATGATGGAAGTATCTTGATAATACCCAAAGAACTGGTGGCCTCAGGCCACAAGAAGGAAACCCAAAAAGGAAAGAGAAAAGAGAGAAGAAACTGAAGATGGACTCTATGTGAAGTACTCATGTTCAGAAACTGACTCTTTGAATCAGAAACCACTGAAACTTCGTATTATAGCACTGCTACTTGAATAACTCAGGCTGTGTTTTGAAGCTTATGTGGACAAATGTTTAGGACAGGACTTCAAGATCACACCCTTGGGAAATCCAGGGGAGCCACAACCCTTCACAAAATTGTCCTAATTACATTGTATACAAGATTCATGAATACTTGTATTAATAAGACTTTCCACTTTGGCAGCCATCCTTTTTAGTAAATTACTTCAAAAAGAGCTAACACTGGGGATGAAATTATTTTAAGAGGTATTTCAGTTTTTAAAATGCGGAATATCCTTACTACTTTGTTAGCACTATAGTGAGCTTTTCAAACAACATTTTAATCTATTTAACTTATAAATTTTGCTTTGTGGAAATAAATGTATTTGTATTAAAAATTAACTTTCCTTTTTATACAGAAATCTAAAGCAGCAAATTTACCTTTCCTTCCCAAAATACCCACAATTAAGGAATATAGGTGACAAATAGAGCATTGTAGTGATTTTCAAAACTTAGTCAGACTCAAGCCAAACTGAAGTCACATAGTATGCCCAAATAAGGGAGATCCACCCCCCAAATACTTAATACAGAATACTATGTTAGAGTGCATTGAATACCAATAGTTGCTGGTAGTTTAAGCCACAGGCCTTCCTCCTGTAACCAGAGAGAATGGGCTACCTGCATAAACAGAACTCCTTAAGCGTATATTAAATCCATAAAATCTGACAGTAGTAAAGCTAGCCTGAAGGGATGGTCTCACATCTTATAATACTGAGATCTCACCAGATCATTAGAAGCCATCTAAACAAAACAGAAGAGTCAAGACAGTGAAACCATCTAAACTATTTAAAATGGGTAACAGCTATGGGGGAGGGGGAAGAGGTGAATTTGAAAATAAACCAGGGTAGGGTAAATTCTAGAAATAATAGCATTTGAAATGAAAACCTAACAAGTTCATTGGCACAGTAAACAGAAGATTGTGAATTTTCTGAAAACAATGACCAAGTTTGGGGAACATTAAAATTTTAATCTGTACTATTAGTCTAATGCTTATTATCCAAATTTTAGAATGAAGTCTCAGGTATTTCTGCCACAGGAATTCCTGACAGTGTAGACTATCACGTAAGTATCCTGGGCTAGGAGTGCTGTTTATATATACAGTCGGATTTTTATGATGAAATTTTGTTCCAAAGCCGCCATTTTGCCAGACATGCTTCTAGATACAAGTATTGTACCTTCAATGACTCATGGTGTTCCTGACAGGTTGCTTTTTGAAAGGGAGTACTTCAGATGTCTTAAGCTTCATGTTTACACAATTTAAGGATACATATAAAACATTTCAGTCCATAGCAGGAAGTTTTACAGTACCAATTTGTTTCAAAACTAAGTACAGTCACATGAGCCCCTGCTTATCAGACAGCATTCTTTTCAAGCCTCTATAAGGAACATACAGTGGAGAAAATGCTTTCAGCCACTGGTTACTGAGGCTGAAATGCAGTGGTCCTGATCACAGATCCAGCCTTGAACTCCTGGACTCAAATGTCTGCGTCAGCCTCCCCAGCAGCTCAGATTATGAACCATGCCAAGCCTTAAGCTTAAACCGTAAGAAAACTTCCATACAGCACACACGAATTCAAGTAACTGCAAACAATATAAAGTGATTGTCTCTGTACTGAATTTTTCACTGTAATGCAGCATACTATTTGCCCAGCTTTCTACCAGTATTGAGTGACCTATACTCACTCATATGAGATATGCTTAGGTCACGTGCAAATACATTTCATAAAATGGGCCTAGAGCATCCATATTTTGGTATGGTGGTGGTTCCTGAAACTGATGTCCCCCTCCCCCAGAACAAGGGACTTTTGTGCATTAGGAAGTCAGCTTCACAAGATCTAAATGACTATGGGCTGGTTTTATGATACAACCCCACCTTCACCTTAACATGCAGGATTCAAAGCATAAAAACTGGATGTGCTTGCTTTTCTATCGACAGTCCAGTTTTAAACGTGAAATTCCACATTAGGTTTCTAGTGCAAACCAACTAGATGACAAAGCCAATGACCAAAAGCTGACAACTGCTGGCTAGGACTCTCCACATTACCTACCTAGTTGAGTTGTCTTGATTTTATGAATAAGATAAAGACAACCCAAGTGGGACACTTTTCCAATTTAAATTCTCACTCGAGCTTCTTCACAAGCATTATCAGATTTTAGGCCAATTGCATAGAAACTCCAAGCAAACGAGGCCATCTAGATTTCTTGAGGTCCCCTGGTCTCAAAGCAGGCTTAGGTTCAGCAGATCTTCAGAACACAAAACAGCAGCAGCATACAAGTTTGTGATAACAATCTTAACTTTCCTAAACGCACTCAAGTAGCTAGAACATTCTTCCCCCATCTCAATCTTTGAACCATTAAATTTGTTCTCCGGTAAATCCGCACACCTCTCTGGTTATCCCTCAAACCCCCTCCAACACCCCAAAACAAGCCAATGTTAGTTTCATTACTAAAATAATGGAAATGTCAAAATTGTGTGATCAACCATCTTAGTACATTAGTTCCAAATCTTCAGCAAATTTAAGCAACATGCACACTCCAGGTGTCCTGAAATACATGCCTTTCTACCTTTTGCACTTTTCAACCAACATTGATGAACTGAGACTTGTTGCCTTACATTGTTAGCTTTTAACACCTAACGAATATTAGGTCAAGCCGATTTAAACCAACTCATTTTGCACTGATCTACCAAATTAGACTACATGGAAAATCTTATACATACAGATCATTTCACAGAAGTGCATAAAAACTTAATAAGGGCACCTCGAGTGTGGCAGCCAGCGTCTAAGACAGTTCCCAATGATCCCTAGCTGCTTGGTAATTATACCAGTGGACAGAACCCTCCCACCACATTCTGTAACCATAAAGGATGCAAGATGGCATGACTATGTTGTAGTGTTCATTTTACAGCTTTTCTTGCTTGAGTCACTCACCAAGGGAAGCTGACGGCATTAATTTTTCAGCCCTGTTAGTATGCCACTCTGGATATAAAAATTCTCCAATCCTAGTTTTTGGTGATTGCAACCTTGAGCTTTACCCTGATTCAGTTAACTTGCTCCCAACTGCTGACATAGATGAAGTTTGTTTAGAGAAACTGCTAAGTTGTTACACAGCAACAATATAAAGCCCTAGGCAAAAGGCAGCCTTTCTTCATTTAGGGTGCTGTCTCAAGGCTGCCACAAGAACTATCTTAAACTTCAAGAAACGGCTCAACACACAATACATACAAAAAATAAGCCTATGTTGAACATCCAACATTACCCTATGTTTCAGTAAACCCTCTTTAAATCAATTCATTTCAGCCTATTGTGCATTACCTAATTCTCCCCTATTTGTGTGATATTCCCTTGACCGTGCTGGATCAGAGTTGCTATTTTGAGGTTATGCATACTATTAACGATGTATTTTCAACGTTCAACATCTTTGTACATCACACATTTTTAAACCTTCAAAATTAACTTTCTTGGAGTAGATCTATTTGTACAAGTCTAATTGATTAATTCCATTACGATTTCAAATGCAAAGCTGCTTTATACTTGTTAGCTGCTGTTAGTTTGACTTACCTGTTAAGATACCTCAAATTATCAAAACCAAAAGAAATTACCATGGAATCAATTAACTTGGCCCTTGTTATTTGTTTTGGTTTTCTTAATTCAGGTAAATGTCCAAATAAACACCGTTATTTAAAAAGCCTTAAAAAAAAAAAAAAAAAAAAAAAAAAACAGATACTCATTTACTCAGTGTAAAACACAATAAAACTAATTGACATTTGACAATCTAGTACATATTTTAAGCCTCAGTGCTTTGCAAAGGCAGTTAATCTGGAACACTCAGGCAGGTTAATTTAAAATCCATGATTTTCAAACGCCAAGTACTGTTAAACATACAAGGTAAAGCCAGGAACTTTAGGAGTACTCAAACGCTGAATATACAGTGCATAATGAACAGCATTTTATTGGGGACAGCCAATAATGTCCACAGTGCTCTTCTCATTTATCTGTAAATATTAAAAGAAAATATGCATAGCTTTGTGAAACTGCTTTAAAAAATTTAGGGGATGGTGATCTTTTAGACAACCAAATGTTTATAGAACAAGATTCACACATTTTATGTGTAAACATTACACCAAATATTTGGATACAAAAGTATTTATTTTATAAACTTTAAAATAGAATTTTAATCTGTCTACTCACAAAACCTAATTTAAAAACATGATACATTTATCTCTCTAGCCAAGTTGATGTTACTGTTTTACAAACAACACTCATTTTGTAACCGTTTTATATCAAGAACCTGAACTAAATGTTTCAGAAAACATTTCCCTTTTATTTTAAAGAGTGCTTTTTAAATGAAGGCACAAACAAGAACTACTTTCAGATGGTACAGAATTTCTTATTTCTTGAAGACTCTGTGGTTGACCACTTCTTCATTAGTTACCTGCAGCAAGACACCTTCCTGCCAAAGGAAAAAAAAATTATCTGAAGAAGTTTATCATGTTTGTCCAAAAGAACCTAACAACTTCAGTGGTGGTCTTAGGATCAAAGAAGACTCACTGGTGCACATAGTAGAGTAAGCCCTGAATATCACATTCCTGTAAAGGCAATAAAGCCAGGCAATCAAATTGATATCTAAGCAATGAATCTTAACAGCCAACCTACAACTTCCTCTTCAGGGTAAGACACTGAACTACAATTACCACATTTAACCCACCTATTTAGTACTGGATACATACAGGCTTCATAATGTAGACAGACACTTCACTCAAGTATGAACTATTATCTGAAAATAGATTCAACCATTTTGACGCTACCTTCTTTCAGTCTCATCCTGATAAGCATGTACAGCTAGAACCGTAAATAGAACAAATGTCTTTAATAAAAACCCCTGGTTCATTCAAAATGTTTGATCCAAGAAATGTGAATACACAAGGGTGTAATGATGGGAAATCTCATATTTATTCAATTTGCAGCCTAACTTTTACCTACCATTTTACTACCAACACCACTGAAGGAACCAAGAAAAGCTTTATTAATGATCACTTGGCTTGCCTCAGCTGTTGAAATGAAGCACTTTACAGTCTTTGTGGCAGCAGAATATACTTGTCCATGGCTCATATCAATGCTAAAATTCCAGCAGGGAAAAAAATGATATGTTAAGCACCTGAATCTTCACATGGAGGGGGAGGGGGGGAAAGGAGGAAAAAAAGGGAAAAACAACCAAAATAATTTAAGTAAATGACAGATTGGAAAACAGGGTTTATAAAAATTCTCTTGAGTTTATGAATTGTTAAACTCAATTTATAGCTATGTTAAACTACTTAAGAACCACTATACTGAAAGACCATTGAAGAATATTAGTTTATCTTTTAGGGAGGAAAATTAAGAAAGGAAAAGTAAATAAGATCTTACCTAAAGAAGTTTAACTGAAGCTTAGAACTATTTTGCTCTACACCCTCAGCTTTCGTTGGCATCCTTATAAACTACTGTAGTTAAAGTTTTGTAGAAACAGCACAGTTTTTTAAGACTGGCTGAACTTAGTAGCCGTCAAGAGTTCTCTTGTACTAGACCTGTGTCCCTGAAGAGTACCTCGCTGGGGTTATTTCCTTTCCTTGCATTGAAGAAGCAGCATCTAAAAGATCTAAAAAGGTGTTTCTCCTTGCAGAGATATCCCTTAAGTTATCTACATAATTTAATCCTGATGAATTGCAGACAACACACTTATATCTGACCAGCATTTATCTTACACAAATATAACAACAGCTTTGCAACGAACCTTAATTATACTACCCACTCCTTAACTTATTTAAAATAAAAAGTCTATAATTACACAATTTCCTTTAGAATTATTTTATTAAATCATAAATGTACAACAGCTTCTTAACTCTACACACGCACTTAAATTTTTTTAAAGGAAAAACGTTATGTCTTATTACACCATGATCCTGGCTAATAGCTTTTCAAAACTTTGAGAAAAATCTTAAAAAAGGTTTCACATGTCACCTGAAACTTACAAATTTAACATTATCAAAGAAGGAATGCTTCTACACTCTTACAAAGACCACTAGAAAGAAACAACAATTAAAAAGCTAAGAAACTGTCTCAAAGGCATTTTTTTTTTTTTTTTTACAATCCTTCCTCCACAGTAAGGTAATGTTATTAAATAATCCAATCCATTCACAAAATGGCTCTCTGCATCTGCTCTGGTGTCTTCTGCCATATCACTGCATATTTATGCATGACTGAGATAAGAGTTTCCTTAACATTGTTATTTCGATAACCTGAAGCTGTTCTGTTACCTCTGGGCTCTCATCCTCTCCTATTTATACAGTGAAGCCTGTTTCAACAGAAGTAAAGAGTAAAAAAAAAATAGGTTATGAAATTATCCATCTAACCAGATTTTAAGGAAAGATAACATGATCCTAAAAAGCTTTTACTCCTGCAGCTAGGTCTCCCAAGATAATAATAATTGTAAAACTCAAAAGCTACTTACCCATGGCAAAGAGGAAGAAGCTCAATATCGGCTCCTCCCACCATAACCCCCACTTCCTCCACTGCCTCCTGGACCATAGTTTCCTAGAATTGTTGGAACAGAAAGAGAAAACAAACTTAGACTTCCCATCAGCCTACTACAGCTGATTCTATTTTATATCTATCAAATCTTTAAAACAAGCAGATCCTAACTTGGACAGCCAGTTAGCAGAATTACTTGGGAGATAAATTACTCAGGTTTTTATTTTGTGGCTGACACTATTCTTTTCAATAAAGGGTTGGTCCTCTCACCATCATTTGCACTAAGATTTTTTAAAGTACATCAGGCACAATACAGAAAACATATAGTCCTACTAAAAACCTCAAGAATAAACTAAGCAATGGTTTGAATCATGGTTGAAGTATTTAACTTCAAAGACCCTCATAAAAAATTTATACCAATTGCAATGCGGGTTGCATTTTTACTTGGCTGTTTATGAGGCCCTACCAGAAACTCAACTACTGAACATTCCCACCTCCAGCACCCCTAATCCCAATTTGATGTTATAATTACTTGCTGAAGTATTTCTGGAAACTTACGCATTAAGGCTGAATATGGAGCACTGCCCAAATACAAACTACTTAGTATGGTATCTTCCCTTTAAATCACAAAAGGCTAATCCCTTAATCACAAAAACCTGAAAATCTCAATTTTTAGTTATAAATTACCTCCACCATATGGTCCCCCCATGTTCCTGCTACCACCAAAGTTTCCACTCTTCATTGGACCATAGTTAGAAGGCTGCTGGTTATAATTTCCAAAATCATTGTAATTTCCACTTCCGTAATTTCCTATAAAAAAATTGGAATACTACCATAATGGACCGCAGAACAATACAAACATTAAACCGATGATACATACTGACTATTCAGGCCAAAGTTCCCACAAAAACAAATAAAAGCAAGCACTTATCTATAACTTTTAAGGGCCTCCAGTGACAAATATTGTAATAAAAGACCAAGTGTTACAAAACCATTGATTCCACCCCCAATTCCCAAATAATGGTTCTTGTAAATTCCCAGATAATTGCCTGTGAATTTATTACCTCCTCCATAGTTGTCATAACCACCTCCGTAGCCCCCACCCTGGTTGCCATATCCAGGTCCTCCACCACCATATCCTCCTCTTCCTCCTCCATAACCAGGGCTACCTCCAAAATTGCCACCTATTATAAAATAAGCCTTTAAGTATTCACTTAATATTTTTAATGACATTCTTAACCATCTCATCACACCCATTTACAGCTTTCCAAAAATACGCATTTGCATGTGAAACATTCAGTGATATCTCTCTAAAATAGCCTCAAGGACTGAATACATACCCTTGGTAAACATTTGGTGGCTGGGGTGCCTACCCAACCAAATGGATAACACCATGTCTACACTCTGAAAATACCTGTATCGAAGCAATTTTCCCTTAAAAGTAAGTATCTTTAAGGTTACCTTTACAAGGTATCTTGAAACACTGCATGTATATACTTTGGCTAAGCTTGGGGGCCGAGTCTCAAATTACTTGTAGTTAAGTACAAGAATTCAACTTTTTCTAAAATTTTCATTACAAAATGCAGGAACAGTGAGATACAGTACCTAGTCATGCCTAATGAGTGGCAACACCAGAAATGAAGTCTATTACCAATTCATAGTTTTAAAAGTCCCTTATCACTAAATCTGTCAGCGTGTACCATCCTTTTCTATACACGAGTAAAACTCAATCTTTACATATTACTTCACTCATGTTTAACAGTAGTTCACACTTGTATCTGCAGCCAGGAGCACACTAAATATTTTTGAATATTTCCTCAGAAAGCTATCCTGGGATGCTTGTCATCTAAGTGTTAAGAAACATTTTGTATTTTTCTCCTACATATATTCTCCCCCTTATGTTTTACTCTCGGTTAAACCCAGTATTCTGTACTTTTCCAGAGAAACACAGTACAATATTTATCTAAATCCTACTCAAGAGATGGCATCTTTTATTTTTTATTTAAAATGGCACTCTAAAGGCCAGGTGCAGTGGCCAACACCTGTAATCCCAGGCCTATGGGAGGCCAAGGCGTGCAGATCACTAGGTCAAGAGATCAAGACCATGGTGAAACCCCGTCCCTACTAAATACAATTAGCCAGGCATGGTGGTGCACACTTGGTAGTCCCAGCTACTCGGGAGGCTGAGGCAGGAGAATTGCTTTAACTGGGAAGTGGAGACTGCAGTGAGCCAAGCACACCACTACACACCAGCCTGACAACAGGCCGGAGACTCCTTAAAAAAAAAGGGGGGGGGGGGCAGGGCACTCTATTCCTTAGTAAATGCTAAACCAGCAAACTACTGGAACACTATTGCCCAAGCTGTTTATAAAGGATAACAAAAAATACTTAAAAACTCGAAGTATAAAATGAACCAAACATACAACATGCTGAAGTATTAATCACGTAAACCAAAATGTAAAGGAAACTGACCTCCGGGTCCTCCTCCATACCCATTGTAGCCATCCCCAAATCCACGTCCACTGCCATATCCATCTGTTAGGAGCCAAAAAACATTACATTTACTATAAACTGTTCCGCATTACTGAATTTCTAATACTCATTTTTTCAGTTCTCTTAACTCCTCAGCACAGGAACCTCAGAAATGCACAGTGTTACCACTCTATGTACAAAACATCAAAGTATAAAAATCTCATTTCCACCTAACTTTTGGACTCTGAACAACTCTCAATTTTAGAGATTCCATTCCATTCATAAGAAAACATTTGATGGGACCAAAGCTTTTCTGATGACATTTTACAACATTAATCCAGATAAATACGATTGTTATTAATAAAAACCCTATTGCCTTCTTTTCTAACCAAGTCACAGGGGCTTGCCAGCATATAATCTATTTGAAGGGTCTTAGGGAAAATTTTGATTTAGGTTGGATTTCCCGTTTCTAATGAAAACCTAATGACATTTAAAACAAAAGCAACATCATCCTTCAAACACTTGTAAGTTGAACTCACCAGATCCTCCTCTAAAGTTACTTCCTGGTCCTGGTCCGAAATTTCCTCCGCCGCCACGAGAATCCCCAAAGCCAAAGTTGCCTACAATAAATGCCCCAGTTAAAGCAAGCACTTATATGAATAAAAAGCAAGAAAAATCAGAATTAAAATTACCTCCTCTTCCACTCCTAGAACTTTGAACTTCCTGCATTTCTTGTCTAGACAAAGCCTTTCTTACTTCTGCATTATGACCATTGATGGTATGGTATTTCTGCACTGCAATAAAAAATTGACTCCTTTTAAATTATAGCAACATTGTAGTATGAAGCAACTTTAAAAGTTTACCTTTTAATCAAGTTACAGATATTAACACACACAATTGAAGACACAGAACAGTACATTTGTGGTTACAGACACTTACACACGATTTTATCCACAGGATCATGGTCATCAAAAGTAACAAAGCCAAAGCCTCTTTTCTTTCCAGACTGCCTATCAGTAATTATTTCAATGGTATCAATTTTTCCGTATTCCTCAAAGTAATCTCTAAGGTGATGTTCCTCAGTATCTTCCTTAATTCCACCAACAAACAGCTTCTTCACAGTTACATGAGCCCCTGGTTTTCCAGATTCCTAAAACAGTGGTGGTGTAAAAGTCAACCAGAGAAAACACAAACATGATACAAAGCACCTAACCTTTATACCACACTTGTCTCCTATCCATCTTATAATATCAGATACAAAGCAATACCTTTTGGGGACCTAGTCTTTTGAAAAATGTTAGCTTAAGAAAATGGTCCAGAAACCCAACACAGCTAACAAGGGGAAAAATCTTGAGTTAAAACTCAATTCAGAAATACTTTCTGATGTTCGGTAGGGCAGCATTCTTCATGTTAATTGCACAAGACAGTCATGGTCTGCTTACCTCTCTTGCTACAGCACGTTTTGGCTCAACGACTCTCCCATCAATTGAATGAGGTCTTGCAGCCATGGCAGCATCAACCTCAGCCATGGATGAGAAAGTTACAAAACCAAATCCTCTTGATCTTTTGCTTGCAGGATCCCTCATTACCTTTCAAACCAAAGGGGAAACTTTAGCATTTAATCTCATTATTGTAGTAAACATTCATTGTAATAGATTTTTTTACTATGGTGATGCACAATTTCTTCCATGATTCACTTAACATACAGCTAAACGACTAGTATTTTGACACAATTCAGTAATTTACGTACCACACAATCTGTAAGCTTTCCCCATTGTTCGTAGTAGTTCCTCAAACTTTCTTCTGTGGTTTCAAAGCTTAAGCCACCAATAAAGAGCTTACGGAACTGTTCCTTTTCTCTCTGCAAAGGAAAGCACCATTTCAATTTTTATTTACATTTTTCTCTTTGTATGCAGGAAATTAAATTCTTAAATATGAGGTGACCTGCTGGCAGAGTACCTTTTTCCTCTCCAAAGGAACAGTTTCTAAAGTTTTCTGGGGGGGAGAAAAAAAACTTACATCAAATTTAAACCATATGTTAAACTGCATATTAGTTGTGTTACACCAAAAAATTGCCTCAGCTGATCTACACAAGTTTCAAAGTCATTAATGCTTGATCTAAATTTACTCAACATTAAATAAACTTAAACAAATTATTAATTTAAAAAACTTTCTAAGGAGAAATGAACAAATGTAGACCGTGGTTATCAAAAGATTAGTAAAGATTCTTTACCCAAAAATTTCAACCCTATAACCTAAAACGCAGATTTCTATTTTTAAACACCAGAAAATAACTCTTGGATCCTTGCTTATGAACCAAATTCACGATTCAGTGTCTGCAAAGTACCATTTATTTTCCCTTAACTGCCCCCTCTGGTGGTGATTCTAAGTACCTCAGCAAAAAAAAAAAAAAAAAAAAAAAAAAAACACTGAATACTAGTTTTCTCCACATTACTGTTACAAAACATTTAAGCAGTCAAGATATGCATTTGAAATAACCTTAAAAATTACTCAATACATTCACCTGGCATAAACTCTAAGCAGTTTTTTAAAGATACTGAAAGGTGAAGCTTACTGAACTTGATTGGCCATGTAGGAAGACACGGCACAAAACGATTTTCCAAGTCGAAAGGAAAAATATCAGAGCTGAAATATTTTAATACCTGCAAACCAACAAATATGCTGTACTACATAGCATTGTATTTTGGGCAGTTAAGGAAGAACGTTAAGTAAACATGTCTCAAAAGGTAACTAGGTTAAAAACCTCACACGAGAATAAGTCATATATATCCAAGACCAATTGCTATGAATGCATAATGCAAACTTAAGAGTCACTTATCATTGAGTCAAGAATTTTTTATTTCTAGCAAGCGGCATTTATTGCTGCTCTCATCCCAGTTCTACAGAGCTCTCCCTCCATCCACATGTTCCCAACTGCTTTAAAAAAAAAAAAAAAAAAAAAGGTGATAAAAGCCAGTTGAGATATTTTTCCTGTAGCGTTGTCTTCAGGACTCGTAAAAATTAAAAAAAAAATAAATAATAACTGAAAGTATCAAACTAGCTCCCATAAGACACATAGCGGTCTTCGAAATGGTTCCTTGCCAAGATACATATTTTGATTTTTTTCAGCTAGCTTTTATTGTCAGTACATATGTCTTTCAAACTCAAATTAAGGATAATACACATCTATAACAAGTCTTACAAATTACTAACAAAAAGCAAAAACTCATTACTTACCTCACAATTTTTCCAAACTTACCCGATGTCCACTATCGGTTATTAACAATGTTATTTTATAAACGTGCTTAGAGTCAAAGAAAATAACCAGGTAGACCCCCTTCGCTTGAGACCTTATGCTTATCAATGTAATGTTCAACCAAGATTGCAAACATAAATGAGAAAAGCAAGTAACAAGTTCAAATACAGAGCGGCCCAGGCCCAATACAATTTTGCACATCAATACACACGCATTACAGGAAGGAGCCTCTGAAGCCATGTTTTAACCTAAGTACGACTAAGGACAAAACACTTTTCACTTTCCTCGTAATCTTTATGCTATAAAGGTCCGGGGATTGGCCCCGTAAAGATTAAACTTCTCAGTAAAAATATTTTCAAAATGACTGACCTCTACAATTTAAGTGGAATCCTTAAGGGAAGTAAAGGATCCTGACGTGAATATCCCTCCCCCGCCCCGAAAACCACCATTCTCCCTGCCGCTCGCGGCCGAGGGCTTCCAATTTGTGTCTACTTCGCTGGGATTCATCTGCCTTATTAGTAACCGAAGACCCAGATAAAACCATCACTCAAAGAAAAAAAAAAAAAAACAGGAAAAATATAAAATGGTTTATTTGTCCTATGGCTGGCGTTGAACCCGGCCCGACGCTCTGAGTGGTGATACCTTCTCTGAAACTCGGCCTGCGAACCCGGCACCACCATCCCCCCACCCGCCCCGCTCTTCCGTGTGGCTTCCGAACGCAATGGCGCCATTTCATCGAGGGGAAGGCTGAGCGCCTTTAATGAGGTGCGCAGGACTGTAAAGATCCAAGCTCACAAAACACTCCAAATCCACCTCGAAACGATATGAAAACAACCCGAGAAGAGAGAGAAAGAGTTAACCACCTCTAAGCCTTGATTGAGAAATCACACTAGGAGAATTAAGTCAGTTAAAAGAAAAACGCTAAAAGGAAGGCGAGCCATGAAAATGGCGGCCGCCAAATCCGGTTCCCGGGAGAGAGGGGGAGGGGAAGCTCCGCAGCCCTGCTCACGAGGACCCGCTGCCCGCCGAAAAGCTCGCCGTGAAAACGCCGGAGCCCCCGAAGCAGCGTGCTTTAAAAAAGGAATAAGAATTCCCGCCTCCGCGTCCAACTTTCACCCCAGCGGGGCTGCGTCCGCCATGTGAAAGTTTCCCATCCCCCACCCCCCGTGAAGGGAAATGGCGCCGGGAGGCTGAGGGTGGGGAAGCTGTTTGTACGCTCAGGCCCCTGTCAAGACCCTGTTCAAAAACCAAGAGCCCCACTGCTACTGAAGCGGTCCAATTTCGTGCCGCTCTCCCACGGAGGCAGCTGGCCGACTTCTACTGAGGCGCCAACGGCCTCGCCATGCCCTTTCCAATAACTCATTGATTTCAAACCCGTTACCTCCATCGCGGACTCAGTCGCTTCAGCCCGATTTCCCGCAGCCGAGCGAGATGAGAGAGATCTCCGCGGACGAACACGAACCGGACTCGTCCTGGCGCTGTAGTGAGAACTGCCGCTGCTCGAGAAACAACACCGCTAGCGGCACCTCCGCACGGGACCCGACGCTGCTGCTACTGCCGCTAGAGCCGCTGCCGCCGCTTTTCTAGAACCTTCCCCCCCGACTAACGCGTCTTCCTCTACGTCAGGCCGTTGCGTAAACGCCCTAACCGCCGCCAATGGCGGGAAGGCTCTACGCCCCGCCTTACGCCAAGTGCGTACTCCTCCCCACCTCGCGGCTAACGATAGTGCCCGACGTTACTTCCGTAAATGTGCTCAGTGAATTGCAGATGGCTCGAGACCTGCGTGCTATTACCTCTCAGAATAGGGTCCCGCCCCCACGCCTCCCCGCCCCCACGCCTCCCCGCCTTGGGCGCAAGGCAGGTGAGAAACGGTCGCGCAGTTTGAAATTAACGCCGACGGGAGGAGCTTAATCCGCAGCCCGGAGGTCCAGCCCCCTCAACCCGGGAGGTGGTCTCTGCAGCTACGCCTTTGATACCCATCTCCCTTCTCCCGCCATAAAAATCTTAGTAGCTTTCCCTTTTCGTTTTCCGTGCCCCGACTCAGCCCCTTCCGGAAACACCCAAATCAACTTATAGTCAAATTACTATTCACGCCACACTGACCTAACCCTGGCCCGCGCCTATGGGGCTGACCCCTGGGATCGAGGAGGAGTCTCTGCCAAAAGTGGTCCCAAAGCGAGTACTAGTTTTGAGGCTCCCAACTCCCCCTCCCCCAGCGTCTGGAGTATTCCACACCCCAGGGGCGAGGAAGTAGGCGGAGTCCGGTTTTGGCGCCAGCCGCAGAGGCTGCCCAGCAGAAAAGCCACCGCCGAGAGACTCCGGTCACTGTCCGCGCCCCTCCTTCCCTCTCCCTCCCCTCGGGGGACCACCAGGAGCCAGCCGCAAACGGTAAGTGCCGCGGTCGTCGCGGCCGCCCTCGCCACCTTGGGCCCCAGTTCCCAGCGGGCGCGGCGCACAGCCCCTCCCCCCCGCCGGGCGCGCGCCCGCCGCCCCGCCTTTCGTGGCCGCCCGGCGTGGGCGGTGCCACCCCTCCCCCCCGGCAGCCCCGCGCGCAGCTCCCTGCTCCCTCCCCCCTTGGATGTGGCTGGAGCTGCAGGCGCGCCGGGCCGAAGACGCCGCAGACCCGCGACCCGGAGCAGCTCGGAGGCGGTGAAGTCGGTGGTTTTCCTTTTCTCTAGCCCTCGTTCGGTGGTGGTTTTTTAGATACCACACACGCTCCGGGGGCCCGGTTCCTTGCTCCCCTCCTCTTCCTTCCCCGCCGGACCCCGCACCTGGAGCTGCGGGAAGGGATGGAGGGTCGGGCGGTGGCCTTGCGGCTGGCCTGGCGCGAGCCGGCGCCTGCAGTTAATTGGGGGGACTGCCCTGCCCTCGAGGGGGTAGAGAGTTGTGGCGACGGTCACTCTCTTAAGAGACAAAGCGCATTTCTCTTCCCCTCCCCCACCAGCGTTCTGGCGGAGGGTCCCCCTCCCCTGGCCGCCACGCGGGGCTGGGCCGAGACTTGGGCCTCCGGGAGGGTGGCGCGCGGCCCCGTTACGTGGCCGCCGCGGGGGTTGCGCGGGCGGTGTGGCGCAGTGCCCTTGAGCCCCTGCGACGCGGCCTTTGTTTCTCCCAGCAGATGAGCTGACCACGAGGCCCGCGCTCCCGGGTGGGGGCGAGCGCCCGCGCTTAGGCCTCGGGACGTCGAGCGTGGGGGGCGGGGGGCGGGGCGGAGGGGGAGCGGGTGTGTGAAAGAGGTGATTGCTTCTTCAAAGTGTCACGAAACAGGGACTGAAGCAACTTAAGTTTTTTTCTTTTAGTTATTTACCGATTGGAAAGAGGGAGGGTTTCTGAGCAGAAACCAAGTTAGGATTGCAGAGCAGAGAGAAGATTCACGGTGGTTTACCGTTGTGAGTTGGTAATTTTGCCTGGTTTTAAACCGAAAGGGTTGTCCTTTAAAAATGGGACATGGACTTTATCATAAGTGGGACTTCGATTGGAAAAGACGCTTGTCCCCTGTTTTAAGCCATATAAAGCTGTATTAGGTACCAAGATCTCCAGTAAAGTCTTTCTAGACTCACTTGGTTAGGAAGACATACTTAAACATGTGCACCATAAGCAGTTTAAGTAGGAGCGCAAATCTGCTCTGGAATTGGTATCCACGTTTGGAATGTGCGCTCCCTACTTGGGGGTTGGAATCCAAACAGAACTTGTGTTTAGCTACTCTTTTTTGTGTTCTGCAAACATCTTTTAACTGTCATGCATTTTTCTAGTAATAGCTCTTCAAGTCTGCAGTAAAAAATGGCCTCCAATAAAACTACATTGGTAAGTTAATGAAAACCTAAAATATGTAAGGATTTAACTAAAGTTTTTTTCCCCGAAAAAGTGTAACTTTGCATCTCTGTGGTTGAGAAATTTACATCCACATATTTCCCAGCTCTCCCAGCATAATTATAGGGGAAAATTAGGAGCAAAATGAAATCATTACATGGAGATACTGACTTGGCTTCATAGTGTCTTAACTAGTTTTAAAAAGGCTAATCTTTGAAGGACAGTGCATTTTGGATTTTGCTGAAGATTTTTATCTTCAAATAGAAATACACAAATTTTTGCAACGTGCAAAAATGTTGCATGAAATGATAAAGCCCTTTTTAGTTGACAGAATCCTTAAATCCACTAAATTGTAGAGAAGTATTTTCATTAAAGCCCAATTTAAAGAACGAGGGTACCCTGTGCACCTAGATTGGAGCAAAAGTCAATAAATTTTCAAATTCCTTTGGTCACTTTATCTTGTTTTAACTTACTCTAACCTATAGACGAATCATAAATTTAATTCATTGCAGTGTTCTGTTATTTGAACACAAAGTGATCGAAATCACAAATATGACCCAGGAGGGAGAAAACACTAGATCTTCTGTATCTTTTGACCAATATTTTTCTCTCCAGCAGTTTAAGACATACGTATATTCAGCCATATCAAATTTCAAGTTTTTTAAAACGCTGGAATAGTCACATAAAAATCACGAAATTCATGGTCCTAGTTCTCACAACATTTAATTCTAACATAGCACTAATCATAAGCGTGTAAAGGTGTTAGATGTCTCCTAAGTAAAGCAGAGCATTTATTTTTTTTGGTCTGTATATTCTCTCTTTGGGTTTCACACTAAAACGGGCACGTTGGTGTTTTTTAATTCGTGCCATCATTAGATTGTACATTAAGTCTGATACCCTGGAAAACAGATTGAGATAAGTAATGTAAAACCTGTCTGATGAGTCTGTGGTGCAAATTATTCTCATGTATTGTATTGTACGTGGAGATGAGAACCATCAGTGGCTCCTCAGGATTGAGTTGACCTTCAGATTCCATAATCGGTAAACCAAAGTGTAGGTAATTGCCTTAAGTTGCTTGTATTCTCCTTCAAGTATTAGATGGGAAAGGAATTAGCTGTTTATGAGGCTTTAAGGCTGAATATAAATACAGAAAGCAAACAAATAGATGTTCCCATTAAAATTAAGTTGTTTTTGCACAGTTGATAGCTTTTGTAATCTGTTATTTATTGGTATTTAAATATTTTGTGAAGGGTCACAAGTTGACCACTTTAAAAGCTTTTAGCTAACTTTTCATTTTAAAAATTCATTAGTGTTGTGAGATGTGTGTGCTGTAATTTAAATGGGAAATAATTAATTTCACTTAAATAATGGGAAATCTATTGTGACTCAAATTCACCTTTGGAAAAAACTGCTGGGTTAAGAAATGGTGAGCATTTGAAACTAGCTTATGAATGCCACAGTAGTAAGAACTGTATGGCATTTTGTCTGTTTGGGCCCAATACTCAAGTATCTTTACTAATGAGAATCGTAAGACCTGACTTGGACATGGCATTCAGAAAAGTCAGGTGTTTGCTGCACTTTTTTGTATTCTAGGGGATTTTTAATTCGTGTGTGTGTGTGTGTGTGTGTGTGTGTGTGTATGTACGTATGTATGTGTGTACACTTACATGCTTGCATAGCTTGAAATGTCCTTTTGCAGTCTTGAGGCCTTACATATGTGTCTGCACACTCCATATGCCTGCATAGCTTAAAATGTCCTTTTGTAGACTTGAGGTGTTGCTGTTTTTGTGCTCCGGTGCTTTAGTTGTGGGATGGCTTTAGTGACTGGGCAGTGGAGGTTTATATTTTTTTAATAGCATTTGTTTTAAGGTGAAATTTTAAGATAGGTTCTTTCTCAGCCCATAGTAACTTCTGATTAACCATTTCAGGTTTTTGAAATTTTCCCCATTTTTAATCCTCTCATAACATGTCTTGAGTTACTGGAAAGAACTGGTTGAAGTTGGTCTCCTACAGTGTTACACCACTACCAGTTAAGATTTTCTGTTGAGAAACCAGGAAAGAACAATTTTTTTCACATTAGGGAATTAAAATCAATCTGCCATTTTGGCCTCTTGAAGTGACAGCTTTATAGTTTTGTTCTAAGTGGTAAGAAATAACTACAGAGATTATGGAAAAATAATCTTGTCCTTTAACCCCCTTGTGGTGTCCATAGTTGACCCTCCAGTTGGTATCAGGATTTCGAACCATATTTTCATTCTGCTGTTAGCTTTTCTCTGTATCGTTGGAGCTTTTGACATTAATATTTGAATTGAGAAGGAGGCTCTTACCATCTGGGTGTGTCTGTAAGGTCTGTCATAGGTTCACCGAAGACCTGTCACTACTGCTTTCTTACCTGTATCACCCTTTAAGTACTTCCTACACAGTTGTTCCTGTATTGTTAAAATGATTGAAAACTCTAGTAAACTTGGTCTTATGAGACTACCTAGAGATAAGACTGAGAAAAGAACTATTTTCCAGATAATGTTTTTGATTGTGTTATTTTGGGTGGTGGGCTGTAAGTTTCAGCTAAATCAACAGTATAAAGCATTCTTTTATTGTCTGTTGACTTTTAATCTTTCCAGAAGGTGTCTGCCCTGGGATATAGAAGTAAATTTTTGTTGAATGTAATAATATAAGCCGTTTAGCCTTGAAAATGTGCTTTAAAGTCAAGAAGAATGTTTCTTAATTTCTCTTTTGTTTTATTTTAGCAAAAAATGGGAAAGAAACAGAATGGAAAGAGTAAAAAAGTTGAAGAGGCAGAGCCTGAAGAATTTGTGGTGGAAAAAGTACTAGATCGACGGGTAGTAAATGGGAAAGTGGAGTATTTCCTGAAGTGGAAGGGATTTACAGAGTAAGAAATCTTAGTGCTTCTTTATTGTATGTTTAACTGCAACTGAGTGGTTTTAAAATGTTTTTAACCTGGCTTTTGTCTGCTTTCCCATAGACATCTTTAAATATAAAGACCCCTTTAATTTAGGTATCTTATTTTAAGAAGAACCAAGATTTCATTGTACAGTTGAAGCCGAGCCGACTAGAGACTAGTTTATTACCCTGGGGAGTCAAATTTATAAAATTACAGAGTGTAGTTTACTATGTAATGTATTTTAATTTGGCTAGGTATTATACTAATTAGAATAATTTGCATTATTTTCCTCCACACAGAGGGTACTAAAAAACATTGAAGCTATTCAATATAGGCTAGTGGGTCTTATACAGGAGTACTCATAATCTAGGGTTTATACTAGGTTTATTATATCCTAATACCTAAGAAGTAGAGCCTGGGCGCTTTTTTTTTTTTTTTTTTTTTTTTTTTT